GTCTCCCTGTCTCTCTGTCTCTCTCTGTCTGTTATCTTAAGTATGACATCCTCTTGAAGACAGAACGATGGTGGAAGTTGAACCTGTAAACACACTTCCTTTTTTGGAATCCACTGCTTTGGGGTATGAAGAGAATAAATAGCATGTGTCTCACTAACTCACGTGTAAAAGATATTTATGTGTCTGCAAATTAATGGATGTTATAGAGCTTGATAATAAGCTGCTTTTAAGTTCTCCTCAAACAGAACAAAATTAGTGAGAGAGATGTTGCCTCCCACATTAGTTTCATTTTCTGTGATATAAAAATGGGGAAAAAGGTAAATGCTGTAGTCTGATACTGTAATTTTTTCAACTGTTATGAGTCAAGCTTGAAGGTCCGGTGTGTAGGATTTAGTGGCACCTCCCTCACTTCACCCTCCCCTTCCAAGCACAAAGGAGCCCAATGACAGAATGTATAAGACTGACTATTCTGTTCATAAGATTCACAACCTTCACTGTTAACCTGCCAATAGCATAGACAGTTGTGGAATAACTAAATCTTATCAGATGAGGATCATGAAGACTACATCTTCTCAAATACAGGTATCAATTTGGGGATCCTTAACAAAAAGTTAGAGAACCACTGTATTGGAGTCTACACAAAAGCCTGCTCTTTGTTGTATAAAAGAAGGCTTAAAAGTGTGGGGAAATGTTTGTGGCAGCCACATCTGCAGATGATGAAAGCAAAAGGAAATTGGATAATAGTGACCAAGAATTAGCTCATTGATAGATGGAACAAGATGTTTATAAATCGTATCAACAACTCCAAACTTAGTTTAGTTTGGACAACAGAGGGACTAGAACTCAAGCCTAAAGGAGAGCTGAAGAGTGAATAATTCATTTAATGTATTTCAAGGTGGTAAATATTTCTAAAGACGATTTAATGGGGATTTAAATCACATTAGTCTGGGAACTTCCACAAGCACCCAGCAAAATGAAGAGTCGTATTTCATTATCAATTCACCAAAAGGAAAATTGGCTCTACTAGAATTTCATTGGCAGTAAAGCAAGTTATAGAGGGGCAGTAAATCTAATCTATCATAAAAAATATTCTCAAGTTGGAGCCTTCAGAGTGCCCTGCCTATCACTTTTTCTTTAAGAGCCTCCTTTTCGGGTCACTTCAGTTCCCACTGGGGAAAATTTCAACTGCAGCAAAGCAAAGATAGACAATGACAGTACACACATAGCAACATAACAATACAATCTACAAAAAGATAGAAGAGAAGAAAAACAAATTGCAACTTTGTCTTTCAAAAATCAGATGCTCGTTGAAGTGGGTCTTTCCCAGCCAGTATACACACAAGCATTTACAGGGAAGCAAACATGATGACGCACAAGAAATACAGAAGAGGGTATATTTTCTATGAATAAGATGAACAGTTGTTCTTTATAAATGCCACAGATTAACATTTTCCAAATAAAACACAAAATCCACCCATTTTAACCATGATTATTTGCAGAAGGGTGTAAGTGAAGAGATGCATTTATTTTATTTTTGTATTACATGGCACAGTAGACATTACATGACATGCTGCCTCCTAATTTTAAATGCAACTCTGGGATGTGCATGCATCACGGCTGCTCATTAAATCCTCCAGAAATACACCGCTTATTTACAAAACAAATCGTGGGTTACGTGTCAGCATCATAATCCTTATCAGCATACAGTGCAACACAGAATAGGATTTATCCTTTTTCCAAGACAGTAGAACAGCATCTTCTCATAAATCAGTGATTTTACACGTGGTCCCTGCATGTGATTCGGGGATTCAGGAACTGCTACTTTCTGTTCCGCTAGGAGGAAGATACAATCTAAGACAACTAATTTAAGCTCTGTAAAATGCATGCCTATCCATTTTCAGTAAACCAGAGAAATGAAACTAATATTCACACACAAAAAGCTGTTCTGCTTCGCAACTTGTCAAGTTGACTCACAGTGACAGGGCACAGATATTTTACAGATATTTTAATTAAATATATCTAGACCTCAACTTGGAAACAACTAAAGATGTGACTGAAGATATTTGTTAAGGCAAGACTGAACTTTCAGTTACTCCTTGAATTTTCAGTTATTCCTTGAATTGATTCTTACAGTGAGGAGGATGTCATCATGTGGGTCAGATCTCAGGTGGACATGACATGAGGGCAAACTCAGGAGCACTAGCAGGGAGAGGTGTAAGGTCAAGTTCGTCCTGAAGAGGAACAATGTACAGGACAAACTTCCCTCCCCCTGAAGCACTTCTTAATATGGCCCCAGTGTAGCCCTCAGCCTCTAAAGGAATAACTGAAAGTTCTCGCTTTCCATTTCCACCTATTAAAATGACAAACAATATAAGGACATAAACCATGATTTATTCATGTTTTTTCTGCAGTATTAACACAGCAAAACATAAAAGAAGTGCATTTTAAGAAGGTACAGTAATTATGTACCTGCTGCTTTAAAAAGGAGCCACCTGTCCTGGAGCTGTGTCATCCTGGGAAATGTCTTCACCAGTTAAACTGGACAACTACATTAAAATGAAATATTTTTTGAGGGAGGAATTTCAGTATATGAAAGGCATTGCACAGAAGCAGCTTCAACATGCATAATACCTCAACATGTGATATGTCAGAATCTACTGACACAGTCCTCTTCCCCAGGCCAGCTTGCATAAAAGTTAACTCCTCCCTGGGGTTTGGAGTTACTTCCACATTAGATCCAAGTAAAAACGGCTTCCATATCTTCACAGCCTTGGCTGTAGGCATTTGACCTCTGGGGAGTGCTCTGGTGTGATTGTACGAAAGAAATAATGTTTATTTAGTTCAATTTAAAGGTAAGCCGACTGTCAAGCCACGATGCCACCACATCCAAGTCCAGAGAAAATAGAGGTACAGATACATCCAAATTCAAACACAGCAACCTAAAAAATCAGCAGCTCCATCATTGCGCTACCATCATGCAAAGCCAGAGTAATGTTAATTTATGTTACCTGAATAATCCCAATACCATTAATGTGAAAATTGCAGGTACGAGTATAATGTCTTGACAGTAAGAACGAATGGTAGAAACAGTAGTAAAAAATGGTACAGTTGTTAAAAGCCGAAACTTTTTGGTCATGTTCTCTCCACATGAAGAGAGAAGAGTGATTCCTGTAAATACATGTAACTGTGAAAATGTGCATTACATGGACACTTTAGGTGGTCAATTTGACACTGGGTGCAAAACTGCTACCTTGCGCCATCTTCAGTCTGGGATTGAGGAGTCGCGCTCTTCGTGCGTCCTGTCCCTGTCCGCTGACTCTGTACATGTTCCCGGACTATCATTCGGCATTTGGCCCTGAAAATCAGATGACATGGAATGGCACGTCCTGTGGCTTCACGTTGGCTCAGACTGGAAAGATTTCACAGTGTATGCGACATTGGTAGAAAACATCAGTAACGTCGGTACATTGTACAGTGACAATGCATTACGTCACTTAGGCTGCTGACATGAAAACAAATTAAGCAATGAACTTACCCTAGCTTTGTGAACTGCTGTTGGTTTTCCAGTTCTGGCATAAAAGAAAAAACGACGCTATTACATTTTTTTTTTGGACAGTATTGATGTAACATTGCATAACAATAAAAGTCATGGTCAATAAAAAACAACAGCGGATATGAAGATCAGATGTAGTGTTGCCCAATGAATCTGTAGATCCATTTCCATAATATAATCTAGTACAGCATACATCTGCGTTTTGTGGTAATTGTGGCGTGAATGTATAATCATTGCGCCACCGTGTGTTTGTTGACATTAGAACAGCGTGTAGCTGGAACGGGAGCCTGGAGAGTAGCGGCAGCCCGCTACACAGTGAAACTTGGCACTGCGTTCAGCGGTAGTTTAGTTAATCCACGGAGTACTGGTGTGTAGGAACCGTACGTTTTGGACCAAGAGTACCATGCAACACTAAATGTTTAAATCACAGCCCTACGTTGTATACGCCTCCCTGTAATTCACTCACGCATTTGTAGGCTACTCTGCTCAGGCCGTGGGGACTAGCAGAGACAGACCCATGTTGTGCTAGATCAGTGTGCTTGCAGCAGCAGGGCATTTTATGAACGAGTTATGGTTGGTGTGTTGTTTTTTGTTGGTTCATTATTCATCTACTTTATGGGAAACGTTTCAAGAGCAACAGCGCTTACCTCCAACCACAGCACAAGGGAGAAGTGGGTGTAATGCGGAAGAGCGTAGCCAGGTCAAACCAACCAATAGAACTCTTCTCTCATCCAACCAGCGTAGTCTCTCACTCCCATCCAAAGTGCAGTGATATTCGCAAGCAAAACTTTAGAACTTGCAAGCAAAGAGGGACTGAGTTTATAAGCAAAATGGTCGTATGTTTTTACTTACAAACATTAGTTTTGATTGAAGTTGAAGAAATATGTTCTCTCATATTTTTTTTTCAATTGCAACCTGTTCTGTTTCGATCTAAAAAAAAAATAATATTTTGATTGCCACTTACTCTTTTTTGCTCTATATTATATTATTATATTCATATTTCCCCAAGATTTCCCAGGTCAAAGTTTTCATTTATCCTGTGAAAAATCTACATGAGGTTCAAATTTGGGGCTTTGCAAGAAAGTTATCTATAGACGATGACATTTAGTACAAACATTGTTGTGCCCCTAAGAATGAATTGTATTGGTGATCCCGACTCAAGCGCCACCAGCAGATCTTTGGTTTATGATTGAATACGCCTACTTGCAACAAAACTAATGAAATTCCCGTCAGTCTCAGCTTTGTGTTTATTATTACTAAGCTCCAGTTTGTAGGATTTAGTGACATCTACAAGTGTAGTTGCAGATTACAACTCCCTCACATTACCCCGCCCTTCCAAGTGCAAAAGAGAAACTATGGTGGCTGTAAAACATGCAGAAAAACACGAATGCTCCTATGTAAAGCTAATGTTTGGTTTGTTCCC